AGAGCGGTTTCTGTCAGAGCTAGGGTTGCCAAGTCCTGCTTATGGAATAGCGGGGTGGGGGTGGGGTCCAGGACATCCCTGGGAGTCTCCTTGTGCGCATGCAAAGTGTGCGCACCGCAATGATGTCACCTGGAAGTGACGTCATCACATAGGGCACGTTGGGGGCGGGGCCACAATCATTCAAGGGCAAACCATAGTGTTTTCCCTCGAATGACAGAGCGTCCCCCCGCAACATGCCTGACGTGATGAGGTCACGCACTTTGGAGGTGGGGTCCCTCCCGGCGGCCCGACCCGCGCACTGTCGTGTGCAGGCTATGGTTGCCAGTTCTAGTTTGGGAAATACCTGGAGATTTGGGGTGTGGAGCCTGGCCAGGGGTGAGTTTGGAGCAGGGAGGGAGTTCAGTGGGGCATAGTGCTGTAGAGTCCGCCTTTCAAAGCAGCCTTTTTCTCCAGGGGACTGCTGTCCCTCTACCTATACGCAAGGACTGGTAATTTCCATTTCATTGCACCTGAAGAAGTGAGTGTACCTTGACTAAAACTTTGTGGGTCTCAACAGTGCCACACGGGACTCTTTAACTTTTCGTTCCCTTGCTTCAGGCTCAGAGGGGCAGATTAAGCATTCAACAGACTAAGCCCCTACTTAGGGCACCAGGGCCAAAGGGGGCACCACAAAGTTGGGGAAAGGGTGAAAAAGATTAGTTCATACAGTCTGTGTTGCTGCAACCTGCCTCGTATATCTGGTCAGACAGGCCAACCACTAAAATGGACTGGGAGTCAGTGTGGAAAAGGGGGGTGGCACCAAGACTGGTCAGTGCTCAGGGCGCCAGTGAGCCTTCATCCGCCCGTCGGGTTGACCCACCTTGATCCAGCTAGATAAAAAGGTAAAGGTAAAGGTTCCCTTGCTCGAAAGCCAGTAGGGATTCTAGAGGTCACCTATTCTAACCCCCTTGCTCAGTGCAAGAATCAGTCAACTACAGCACCCCACTCTGCTTAAAGGAGCACACACCTTTTTAAAAAAAGTTTTAAAATGATCGGGAAAAAGCATTCACATGATAAATTCTTGTGGGGCTGTGCCTTTAAGAAAGGGGGCAGAGCCCCCCTAAGCCTCCATAGTACTGGCAGCCTGGGAACTGATCTCTTGCCTGGAAATCAGTTGTAGTCCCAGAAAATCTCCAGCCACCATGTGGAGGCTGGCAACCCTAGGCCCACACTTCTTCAGATACAGGGTTGTTCTTCAACAAGTTTGAGTCCAAGGGCAC